GGGCCGAGGTATAAGCGCAGTAAGCTGGAGAAGCACCTGAACACAGACATCCTTTGGTGTGTGGTCCTACTCTTCATTATGTGCCTGACTGCTGCTATAGGTCTGTACTGACACTGTTGTATCACAGCTTTGACTGGTCACAGTATTCTTCTGAAACTTTGTAATAGTGCACATTGTATGTTGTGTCCAGGCCACGGCCTCTGGATGAACAGCTTTAAAGGATCCATCTTCCAGGTCGATACTGAGACGCCTCCTGCCCTGGCTGGATTCTACATATTCTGGACTATGGTCATTGTGTTGCAGGTATGTTAACTTCAGACTTGGGCACATTTATCAAAGCCTCTCATTTGCTGCTATCGTGGTCTTTTCTAGGATAACCAAAACAACTTTAAAATGACACAAACTTGTTAGAAGGATTAATGCTTTTTGTTCAACAGGTGCTGATCCCAATTTCTCTATACGTGTCCATTGAGATTGTGAAACTAGGCCAGATCTACTTCATCCACAACGACCTATCCTTGTACAACAATCAGCTGGACTCTAGGATCCAGTGCCGTGCTCTCAACATTACCGAGGACCTCGGTCAGATTCAGTACCTGTTCTCTGATAAAACAGGAACGCTGACAGAAAATAAGATGGTGTTTCGCCGCTGCAGTATCTTTGGAGTTGAATATCCTCATGAGGAAAATGGTAGAAACCGCTATTATTGCTAGAATGCTTTGAATTTCATTGACTTCTGTTGTTAACATAGTTTCAGCATTGAAGGGGATTCTGTAATTACAGTAGGAATGCAGCTAGGATGATGAGTGCGTACACAACAGCATTCATACAAACAAGATGTTCACCTTCTCTTTAGTGCCTTAAACTTTTGTACAATGTTGTCTTTAGTTGATGTCATTGTCTAGAATATCGTTGTCACTCAATATCACAAACTAAACTTCTTCATGAAATTCCACAGACACAAAGGAGTAAAACAAGGAACACCACGAAACAAAAACATTTTCATCTGAATGTTTTTGCTTCTCCGTAGTGTATTTGTTTTTGATCCCTCTGTGAAAACCACCTTACTGTCGTAGAGGACTGTGTGTCTTGCAGCTGTGTTGTCAGGGGCTTTGTTTTCTGTAAGGTCTCACTAGGCAAAGTTGTCCTGGGTGAAGGCCAGGTGAAAAGCAAGTCAGTGACTCCTGTGAAATGAAGAAAACCAAGCAATCAGTTCACCCTGGCCAGGATACAGTTGCCACACCCCCACCCTGAGGCCAAGTTTGGGTTGGGGGCCCAGGGAGAGTGCCTGGTAGGCGGCCTTTAGCCTGTGGGGCCCAGTCAGGTGTAGCCTGAGGAAACAACA